GGGCTCAAACCTGAATGGCCAGTGGGGCAGCCAGTGCTGCTCCTCACTGCTGCCATGGGGCTGGCTCCTGCACCAGGGCTCCCCACTGGGGACCTTCTTGGCCTTGTCCCACTTCCAGCAGCCCCTGACCCCTCTGCTCTGCCCACTCAGCGACAGCTTCGAGACCTGTTAGATGTACAGGGAGCTGCCGTGAATGCACACATGGGGAAGCTGGCCCAAGGAGCCCAGCGGGTGGGACATGTGGGGCAGTGTCTGCGCAGCAGGAGCCAGTCACTGACTGACCTGGACAAAAGAGGGTTAACTAAGCAACATCTGTGTGGTGGGAGCCGGATGTATTTGGGTTAATAGATCACTAGTGCAACTGTGCTGGTTAATATAAATATGTCCACACCATGGGAGCTTAGCTGGCCAGCAGAGGGGCCCAGAAGTGTATGTTTGCCTAGGGCCCAGTGATGGGTTAATCCAGCCCTGGTTGCTATCATTATTCACATTTTACAGGTGGGGAAACTGAGGCACAGGGAATGGAAGTAACTTGCCCAAGGTCACTCAACAAACCAGTGGCAGAGGCAGGAATTGAACCCAGGGTTCCTGAGTCCCAAGCCTGTTTGGCTTATGCTCTGAGCAGGAGTTTTATATCCCTTCCAAAATTCTGCTTTGTTTTTAATCCTTACAATTGTAACTCCACATTGCGCTGTTATGACATTAGCTGAGTGTTAGAACAAACAAAACTTTTCCCCTCTCCCACCCAAACTTGCATGCTGCCTGAAAAATAGAAACAGGACCAGATTCTCAGCTGTGTAAATTGGCATAGCTCCTACACCAGTTCACACCAGCTATTTAGCCCGGGTTGTTTATCATCATCTATACGTTTCAGTTCCCCTGCAGCACATTTCAGAGAGAAGACAGGATAGGCTAAAAGCACATTTGAATTTTTAAACAATGGCCGGGGTCTGATGTTGTCGAAAAACCATCTTGGAGTGTTTACTGGACAAGTCCAATGAAACCCTGCGTATTCCATGCGTTTCCTGCCTTCCTGGGGGAAGCGCTGGTCAGGGGAGTGGGTGGCAGGAGAATTAGCAAAGGAATGCGCAGGACTCAGTCTGGCGTTTTATTTGCATTTTTGCTCACCCCTTTTGTGTGCGAAATTGGGAACGGAACGGTTTTTAATGGAAGGAGTTCACTGTGCTGTTGGCAAGTCCCACCGCATCCCAGCTGGCCTCTTAACAGCTATTGATTAAACAGTAACATTGCCAGGAGTTCTCCATCCGTCACAGTGATGGGAACGCCAATCCTGAAAACGCAAGGGTGAGAAACAAGAAGCCTTTACAATTACAACCTGCAGCTCACTAAATGAAGAATAAAAAACCGTTGAACACCCTATAAATATTTATTGGCGCAGCAATAAGAGACGTTTGCTTTTGTGTTAAAAGACTTGGGACTGGATTTGTTGAGGAGTGCATCGGAGAGAGAAACCATCTCCGGTAAGAGAGAAAGTGAACTGAAAATGCTTTGGCGGTTGGATTGTGATAGGGCAAGGTTAGGTGGGAGATTGTACCTTAGTCTCTTCTTTAGTAAAGTGAATTTGATTGGGCTGCTGACAGTGAGTAAAATGGGGCCAGATTCTTCTCTCTGACACCAAGGAAATGGACTTTCGTGGGGTTTTTGCACACCAGTGGCCTCAGTCCAGCTGCTGCAGGCTCCCCGGCTCCCCCACTGACTTCATCATTACTTGGGTCCTGCCGTGAGAGAACCAGTGGTGGACCTGCCTCAGGCCTAGAGAGGAGAGCTCCCTTTTTACGACTGCATCCCCTTCTGTACCAGAGAACAAGCAGCGGCATTGGAAGTTATCTCACTTCCCCGACCCCTCAGGGTCCTAGTACAGCCTAGCAGAGTTGAATCTGTCCAAACTGGGCTAACTAGTGTGTTACAGTCCGAGCTTTTCCTTCTCCCTGTGCAGCCCGAAACATGTGGCTACACCTGGCCAACGAACCCCTGTCGGTGAAGAGTTCGCGCTGTAACGCTTCTCGCTCTTTGATGTTGCAGTAGAGACAGGTCTGTTAAAAGACTGTGCTGTAGAGTAAGTCCTTGAAGACCCAGTTCCCCACACTCCTCTCCTCTCACTTTCAGCCTCTCATTATTTCCAAGCAGCTCTGATGGTCCTCAGAGCAGCTCCAGTAACTCACGTAGTGCAGGCCCTCATCCGCCTGCTAGGATATTTATGCAGACAGACTGATTAATTCTTCTCTCCTGCTCGCCGTGTCTGAGACTTACACGGCACCAAACTGAGCTTGACAGCTCAGGAAGAGGGCAGCCCCTTTGGCTTCAGACAAGGAGTAGGGTTTGTGGGGGAGTCGGTCTGAAATCAATCATCGACACAGCTGGGGTCTTCTCTTCAAGAAGCCTGGGCCAAATTCACGGGGGGTGTACTCAGTGGGGCTATACCCAGTGGCAGTGTGACCCCCCGAGCTGTTAGAGAGAACATTTCCATCCAGAAATTCTTTATATGGAAAGGTCCTTCCACGTTTCTTTGAAGGAAACCCAGCATTTTTCTAAACCTGTCTTAATTTCTAGCTTCCGAGTTTCCTTTTAAGAAAAGAAAAAAAAAAAGAGGATGCTAGCTTCTTTTGAAAGCTCTTCTGTAATAGTGACACAATCCATGGCCCCCGAGGGCTTTTGTGGATTTTAAGGCCAGACGGGATCATCATAATTGTTTAATTTGACCTCCTTTATCACACAGGCTAGAGAACCTATGTTGAGCCCATAACGTCTGTTGGAGCCATAGCAGAAAGACATCCAGTCTTGGCTTAGAGCCAGCAAGTGATGGCGAATCCATCACATTGCTAGGTGAGCACCATGGACTTGAGGCTTGCTGAGCTCCGTTGTTGCTCGGAACTCCACCGTGACCGAACTCGGATGCAAAGATACAGACCCTAACCCTTTGAGCTGACAGAGAACCTCTCCGACCTGGGGCTGGCTGGAATGCAGTGAAACTATTTTGTAAAGAATTTCACAGTTTTGACATTTGTTTTCATTCTGATGCGGAATGAAACCGAGGCCTTTGGAATTTTTTCACAAGAAAACAAAAACAGCAAAGCAAGATATCTACCCACTCTGGAACCCAGGTTAAAGTCACTGCTTTGAATGATGCAGAGTGGGGACTGGAACTGTGGGGTCCGCCATATCAGATGAGTGCCTTAACCACTGGGCTATTGACTAGTCACACTTTTTGGTTTGGAATCAATGGCATTTTTCAGTGGAAAAGTTTCACTGACATTTTTTCAACCAGCTCCAGTTAGCACTATTGGGTTTATGATACAAAGCTGAACAGTTCTGAGTCCATCCAGCAGGGGGCAGGCATGTACATACACGCTGGCCAGTTCCTGACAATACCATTGTATGCAGCATTCTGTTTTGTTTTGGGAGCGAAATCTTGGATGGGTCTCTGTAAGTGAGCAAGTCCAGCCTGTCAGAAAACAAAGTGCCCATTAGAGTCTAAATGGATCCCCACATCCCAGGTCTCATTAGCTGGCAGGCAGTTTAAAATGAACAAACTGGTGTGTCAAGGCATGGTAAAAGGAGGAAAAAGGGGTTCTTTTTGGGGGTGTGAGAACTCTTAGAGTTCTAGGAGCAACAATCTGGGCTGTTTTTTGATTATGCTTCTAGGAGAGCGATCTCATAAGCTGAGATTAGAACGTGGCGTTAGATCAGAGTCTCGGATTCATGAGTTTGCCCTTTAAAGGCATACCTGGGACTGGGGTGTATTCTAATCTCTGCAGGACGCTCTGTCTGTGCAGATCCCATGGCTATTAATGTCAGGGACGTGGCTAAAATCCAGCCAGGTTTTTAATGTTATCACGAGCCCAAGAGGGCATTTGGATTTTCAAGGTTTGAAGAGAATTCAGATCTTGTGAAGGGGCCGGGAGTCACACACCATGCTGTCCCCACCAACCCTGACCTGCGGCCACTGTTTCTGGGGGTCAGAGAGTAGCTTAGTCTCCCCCACCATTTCCTCGGCTTTTTTGCTGATGATGCCAACGATGATGCCAATTAGTATCAACAATGACAGTGACTTTGGTGCTGTGGACAATTGGACAGCCTGAACTTGACCTGGCTCGCCACCCATTCAAGAGAGGGCCCAGACAGCCCTCAGATGTCAACATCGTCGCTCGCTATTATTATTTAACTTTTTTCTGGTAGAGCCCACAATGTGCCAGGTGCAGTACAAACGGAAGGGAAGGCGCGGACATTGCTGACCCATTCTGGAGTTCCACCAGCTAGTTAGAAAAGAGAGTCTTCTACTAATCATCCCTTGCCACCCATCCACATTGGTCACTGTCCTGTAATTCTGGAGTCACTCCTCAGAGTGACTCCAGATCTTATACCAAGGTCATTGACATCAGAACCTTGACCTGTGTGCTTAATTCAGGAGAAGACAAGTACTGTGATTGTCGTACTGTACTTTGCTTCCTGTCCACACTGTTACAGACTAAAGCCAGTTCCTGCTCTGACTTACCTCCCATGCAACCCCATTGTAGTGAATGGGGTTGCACTTGGTGTGTCTGACTGTACTGCGGCCCCAGACAAGGCTCAGGACTCCGTTGTGCTAAGCACTCTGTAGACAAGTACCGAGGACAGTCCTTGCCCAAGGCAGCTCACAGTCTAGCCATGCCACAGGTGGACAAAACAGAGTAATGAAGTAGGGGTCTGTTGGAGAGGGGAGGTAACAAAAGAAACAGAGTCTGGCAAAAAAATTGAAGTCACAACCCTAGTCAGGGCCTGATGGGAATGGCTTGTAGGCAGCACAACACAATAGGGCTTAAGAAGGGATTTTAAAGCGTTTTGATGAGGGATTTTCCCTGAGCATTGGGCTTGGCATGTGGGGGCTGACGGCTTGATATTATCCGCTCGTTCTTACACTGGTGCCCATCCCTGAAAGTGTTAATGGGCCAAAGCTGGATAGATCCACTTGAGTCATTACTGTTGTCCTTTCCTTTCCACAGGAACCTGATGCCGCGGACTCTAGAGGGGCAGATCACGATGGAGAAAACCCCGAGTTACTTTGTGACCAAGGAGGCCCCCAAACGTATTTACAACATGTCCAGGGACACCAAGCTGATTGTGGTGGTGAGGAACCCAGTCACCAGGGCCATCTCGGACTACACACAGACACTGTCCAAAAACCCCACCATCCCCAGCTTCCAGGCACTGGCCTTCAAGAACGTCAGCACGGGCCTCATCGACACCACCTGGAGTGCGGTGCGGATCGGCATCTATGCCAAGCACCTGGATAACTGGTTGCAGTACTTCCCCCTTTCAAAATTCCTCTTTGTCAGCGGGGAAAGACTCGTGAGTGACCCAGCTGGGGAGATGGGCCGAGTGCAAGACTTCTTGGGTCTCAAGAGAGTCGTGACAGACAAACACTTCTATTTCAATGAGACCAAGGGCTTCCCTTGCCTGAAGAAGCCTGAAGGAAGCAGCCGGCCCCGCTGTTTGGGGAAGTCCAAAGGGCGGCCTCATCCAAAAATCCACGGGCAGGTGATCCAGCGCCTGCAGGAATTTTATAGACCCTTCAACATGAAGTTCTATCAGATGACTGGGCAGGACTTTGGGTGGGACTGAGATCTCACCAGGCCATTGGCTTTCTAAGCCACAGTGGGGAGAGGGCAACTAGTCCCCTGAGCAGACCTACAGGGCCCTTTGCACATTGTGTGCCAAGCTGCCCAGGGACTCTAGCATAGGTGTGTCCAAGGCAAACTTTTGGAAGACACTTCCCATGTTCTAATTTATAACGGACCTGTTCCTGGAGAGAAATGTACACTTACTGAGTACAGAGAAATATTTAAGAAAGAAAAACAAACAAACAAAACCCCCAACCCCAGATCAGATTAAATATTCTTCCATATAAATCTTGCTAATCTATATTAACCAGAATGGTTTTCAGATGGTGTGTGCGTGTGCGCGCGCGTGTGGGTGTGTGTGCAGTGACAAAGGCACTAAGATTCACAATAAAGCTTTGCAAATCAGAGTTGGCCTCCTAATGCTGCTGTAATATTCACAATCAGCCATCCCGACCCTTTTAATTAGCAGGGGAGAGGGCCCCAGACATCAGTGCTGTGTTTAGTTCCTGGATGCCTTTCTTGCAAAGGGACACTAAAGATAACAACTGCAGCCAGGTTCGAAGCTGCTGTACCGCAATGTAGGTCCATTGACTTCAAAGGAGCTAGGTTGGTTTACATCAGCTGAGGCGCTGGCCCGGTATATTAAAAACACAAGTGACTTATGATAATAACATGTTAGGAGCCTGATCTTGCCCCTCCCATTGGAGTCAATGGAATTTTGACTTTATTGGGGCCAGTAGCATGCCCCAGTTTTAAAAAAAAATCTTATTTATCTATTACTTTTTATGCTAGTGTGTGTGTGTGTGTGTGTGTGTGTGTGTGCACGCTTCACTGCTTCACTCAGTTGGGCCAGTGAATTTTGGTCTGGCTCCTCAAAGGCACCTAACTCCCTTCCACATACCTTTGAGGACCTGAGCCTTTGTGTTTCTACTCAATTTCACTTTCCAGCTTTTGGGCCTACACCCAGCAAGTTTGGTTTTCAGTTTCCCATGCTTCAAGAGGACATGGATGCCCTCCTCTTCCCAAAGCTCTTTTTCATTAAAATGTACAATAAATAAAGCATTGTGTTTATTAGAGTTTTGTAAAAGCCCTTTTAAAAAAGACGAGATGAATTTTGGACCTAAGTCACGTTCGGTAGCCTTAGAAACAGTTACCTGGTTTGATAGTTTCTGCCAGATCTGCAAAAAACAGGACACAATGAATCTGCAAAAATAATACAAACTGTCTGTGAGTGATTTATTGTGATTTAAAGGCTTGATTCTGCCTCAGAAGTCAGTGGGATTTTTGTCATTGACTTCAGTGAGGGCAGAATTGTGTCTTAAATGCACAGGGTGGAATCTTGGCCCTCTCTGAAGTTAACGGCAAAAGTCCCATTGACTTCAACTGGCCAGGATCTTACCCACAGTTCTTTTCTGGCTAAACTGTTTGCATTAAAAATTCTATTCTGGTGCGGTTTCAGGAACATACAATACTGACAACTCTGGACAAAAAAAAGAGTAGAAAAATCTCCCATTCTTAATTGCGACAAAAGTCGCAGCTCTACAAAATTGCTATAAAAATTTACAAGGCCACGTCACAAAATCTGCTTGCCAGTTCTTTTCCCCATGACCATACAAAATTATTGATACTTTGTCAGTCCAAATATTATTTGTCTTGGTGAGTGATCACGTAGCATATGACAGGGTTGGACAAAAGAACTGTAAATTGGCAAAGTTTGAAATAAAAGGAAATATTAATTCTGTGCCTAATAAGCAAAATCGTCTTAAGCACATAGTCAGCTTTAAATTGGTACTTGTATCTAATTGACCTCAATGGGAGTTAAGCACCTGCTTAACTTAAAGCTTAAAGCTAAGCAGGTGCTTACAGCTAAGCAGGTGCTTAAATGCTTTGTTGAATCAGGGCCTTAACAGCTGAGTCAAAACACTCATTGAATAGAATGGGACCACTCACGTGCTTAAAGCTTAGACACATGCTCAAGTACTTGCAGGATTGGGGCCCTGTTTTCAGAATGGCACTTTGATCATTTTCTCTTTCCCATTTTGCAGCTGGCTCTGCATCTCACATGTTGATTTTTATTGAGGCGAATTTCCTTTCTGAGACTGGGCAGTGACTGGCATTTGATGATACATCTGGTCGAACAGCGACTCCAGAGCATGGTGTATTTTTCCTGATTTAAAATAGTCTGAAAGAATAAAAACAATTAGCAGCAGTAGCTCTGAATATATTCCAGATCCGGTTGCATTGTGCATCACATGTAACACAGGTGATAAAGTTGGAGACCTCCAAGAGTAATGACAAAAATTCCCCCCTCCCACCCCCGAAACAATTTTGCCGAAGAACATATAGCAAAAAAAGTCTGACCTTTAGCCCAGTGCCTACCAGTTGGTTTCCAGATTTGCAGCCACAAAGGGCAGTCATCGGAGGCCGGTGGAATGAGTTCAAGTGTTCTCATAATTAAAGAGGGGCAAAAAAAACTTCATTAACCTTTCATAATCTTATTAGTGACTTGTTTGTCTTTTAAGTAGCTCATTACATGGTTTTGGAGGGCCCCTGGGCCCTGCACGGTTTTGTACTATGTGATAGGTCCATTTGATTCCAGTACAACATAGTCTCAGTGCTGGCTATCCTGTATGGCATAGGGTTGACTTGTTGTTTCAATGGTCACAAGCCATTGGTTGCAAACCATCCCGGCTGCATTGTTAAACAAAAATGTTAAACTCTTTCGGGTAGCCAGTGTTTTCCTAGACAAATACAATGTAAGCAAAGAGCCTCTGGCCTTCCCAGTGCGTCCCTTCGTGTTCCAGTCATTCTCCGGATTGATTTTGCATCTGGCATTTTACATGGGGTGTTTTTAGTTGGTTTGCAATACAAGTCGTTAAAGCTTCTCCCACTTCTTTGCTTTTTCTACAATAAGAGGCTCCTCTTTGTTCTTCATCCTCTTCAGTGTGGCATTTCTTTTGTATGGGTGGCACTTAAAGCCTCTAAACTCATGGCTAACGGTCAGCATGTTAGTCGGTTTCAGACAGGAGGCTAATCTGTTTACTGCCGCAACAAACGATGCACAAAATGACGCGACTCAATGTCAGGTCCAAGTTGAACACGAACAACTCAGCTATTTATATATTGAGAGACAGAGAGAGAAACGTGAATGTTTTTTGGTATCCCTTGGAAATAGACGTGACTTCTAATTTGCATTGTCTTTGCCCTGCTTTACATTCCTGTCAGTTTCTAAAGCCAACGTAGCCGCATTGTACCTGGTTAAGACATTGTGCTAGGTTAAACAAGAAACAAAAACTGGATTAATTTTCTGCGGCGCTCGAAAGGCTAGATTCACACCTGGCATAAATCAGAGCAGCTCCATTGATTTCAGTGGAACTACAGTGATTTCAGGCCAGCTGAGGATATGGTCCTGAAGAGGGAATTGAAGCAGAAAGAGGTTCAGGCTACACGAAAATGGCTTCTTCCCCCATTTCCGTAGCTTTTTCTGTGAAGCAATTCTACAGTTTCGTACAGTTGGGTTTGTCCAGCTTTGTACAAACCATAGAGGAATCTCTCTCTCCTCCCCTCATGCCCTACCCCTGCCCCTTTGAAAATTCATGTTAAGTGAGGCCCGATCCCAGGTGCTGCTGAGTGCCCTCTAGCCAGGGGGAGCTGAGGGTGCTCAGCCCTCAACAGCAGGTACCCAGCACCTCGTAAAATTGCCCCCCCTCCAAAGTGTGCAAGGAAATGGAAGTGCCCTCTCCGCCAACCCGCTGGGGGTTGGATGTCAGAGCCGCTGGAGCCTGTTGTCACTTTCGCTGGCAGCGCCACATGATGGACTGCACTTTGCTTGTTTAGGTTTTGTTTTCAGCCACGACATTCGACCAAATTATTCTCCACGAAGGGCTTTAAAGTTTCCCAAGTGCCTGTGAAAACCTGGAAACGCTGATCGTGATCCTATTTCTCAGCTGAGTGGCTACATTCAGCCAGAGCCATATTGATATGCAAAACGTCACGGGCCCCGGGTCTAAAGATGGTTTCTGTCTGCCTTGTGAAAGGGGGCCATACTTTTTTAAAGCCTAGGCCTTTCTAAAGCCGCACAATACCATATAGACTATGCCATTTAAAGCATCTGAAGCAACCCAAAATGTATTGAAAGCTTGCTTTGCAGACTCATTAAGACTACTCAATAGGTTCTGGCAAATACCGTGCCAGGGCTGACCGCACGGATTAAGACTTTTGAAGTGATACACAAACCCCTTGCTTAAACTAATTGCTGCCCCATGGCTCATGAGGTCAAGTATTTGTATTCATTGCATTCGAGAGGAGCCACTTGTGGGGCTGTCCAGGTGAAGTCTGCACTTCATTAGACCAGGACAATAAGCTGGAAGTTCCCCGTAGGAAGGGGAAAGGTAACCAAGATGGAAATCTGATGGATCTCTCAAAGGAGAATCATTGAATACAAACAAACGTATGCCCAGCGCTGCAGGGTTTTTCAATGAAAGAGTTCCAAAATGGAATCGTGGTTTTGCAATCTAATATACTAAATGCGGGGAGGTATCCTTGCCAAATGCTTCATTAAGATCTTTGTTGTGCTACCCTAAAATGGCCAGTTCAATTCAAAGGGAATGTAACTTTAATTACATGTATCGGTCAAGTGTGTACAAATCTCTGTCGTTGTTTTGGTTCAGACACGATGCTGCAGTTTTTTGTTACTGTCACCCCTGGGAGTTACTTTGAAACCTATTACTTGAATTCTATGAATTTTGTTACAGGTATATTGAAAGAAAAATTGCAAAGGTGACTGAGATCAGAGAAAATCCATTGACATTTCATTTTCTTTGCCTTCAGCCCTAGATGTGTTTGCTGGGCAGCAAAATTTCATTCTTGCCTACAACACTGTGGGGATGTATTTTCCATATCCTGCTTTTAAACTTTCACAATGAATTGAACATTAATAAATAGGCCTGGCTTGTCCTAAAATGTTTGTCTTCCTCTGTTTTGGGTAGGGGGACTTACCTCATCAGTAAGGAAGGAAAAGCAGCAGTAAGAGGCCAAATTGGCATCCTAAGTTAATAATGTAGCTGAATTCGAAGTACCTTAGTCCGAACTTACCGCGGGTCCAGACGCGGCAGGCAGGCTCCCCCGTCGATGCTGCGTACTCCTCTCGCCGAGCTGGAGTACCGGCGTCGACGGCGAGCACTTCCGGGATCGATCCCAGAACATCGTTTGCCTGCCGTCGGACCCGGAGGTAAGTGTAGACGTACCCCAAGTGATGGTGAATTAGAGAGGAGATTGGATAGTGAATGCTCTACCTTATATCACTGGGGCTGCTTGAAATTCAACTTTATCTCCTAAGAGTTCTCCATTGTAACACATTGAAAAACACCACCGCAATCTTAGCAAATTGCTGCCATCAGTTAAACTGTTCAAAAGGCAACGTTAGCCTGTGACAACACTAAAGCATTGCGCCCAGCATGAGAAATATAACATGCTTCAAACATCCATCAAGTTGTATGGCTAGCATTTCAATGTATGCAGAATCATTAACCTATGATAACCCTTAAAGCCAGAGGAATTCCAAATTATTCCCTTCTGTTTGCCATCAGTGGACAGTTACTGATTGCTGGTGAAAATCAAGATGCAAAGTCGACATTGGGCTGGTAGAATCAAATCCATTGATTGAGCAGAGGTCGCTTTTGTGATGCATTGTTCCCCAATTACAAGTGGGTTCCTTTTAGCAACAGAATAGGGAACCCATCATTTGTTAACACATGTGCCTCATGTATATCCTAGAAGAAATAGCTTTGGTCATCACTTGTTAATGGGCCTAATTAAAAATGCAAATTTAGAAAAATTAGGGGCGAGATTTTATAAAGACCTCAGCCAGCTTTTTCATTAAGGCACAACATACCATAGTTCCCATTCCTCCCAATGGGAGCTGATGAGTGCTGAGAGCATTTGAAAAAAAAACTTTGACCTCTTCGTTTTGGGTGTCTAAGAGGGACACTTAGAAAAATCTGTCCCCAATTGTGGGTACTGAATACTTATGAAAATCTAATCCAAGATGTCTTTTCTTTTTCCCCACCAGCCAATTTCACCTAATTTACAATCACGTTTAAAAAAAAATTCCTATAAGCCTGTGGGCATCAAACTTGTATTGTGAAAAACCAAAATGCTACAGTCTTTATTCAGGCAAAACTCCCCCAGAAGCCACTAGGAGTTTTGCCTCAGTAAGAATGCAGCTGCCAGCTCTGGAAATACCATAGTATGGTGTGAAATGTATTTGAACATTGTAAATTTTCAGCTGGATTGTTTGGCTTGGATTGTGCTATGTACTGACCAGTTATAGTTTGATTTTTTTTTCTCTTTTCCCTATATGGAAGATACATCTTTGTGTTTATATTTTAACAGAGAGCGTTCTGGGCCTGATATCACTCTCCTTTGCTGGAGTTTTCTCACCACCTGTAAAACTTGTACAAGCAGTCTCCACTGGGATAACAACGCTGGGTGAAAATGTCAGAATCTGATCACACTAAAAAAAAATAACCACTATATTTTTCTGCACAAGATCTCTGAAAATAAAGTTCTAAAGAAAATGATGCAGGACTATTTTTGTTTTCATTGGTGTATTTGCTGTTCTGGACCAGTGTGAAAAATAGACTCTGGTTATTTTCATAGGTTTTCTCCCCCTTTTGTTCCTATCTTGAATTTGTAAAAATCCAGATTTTTCAAGTTTCTTGGAAGTAAATATTTATTCTCTAGGATGTCTAGTTATAAAGGAACCTGGCCTCAAAACATGAGAGAGAGAGCGGGAGCCTGACATATATCAAACATTTTCTTCCTGCGTGCTACTGACAGCTGTTAGGTCAAGACATTTCCAAATTAGCATGCAAATGATGGTTTGGATAATGTGTATGGACTTTGGTTTGCTCCGAGAAAGACACCATGAGGCCTCCTACAGCTAAAAATGTAAGGATCATGCATACGTGATGCAAGAATCATAGACTGAGTGCCCTTCACTAGGCATAATCTGGGCACATTCCTTCCATTAAACTGTGATCCTGGCATGCCTTGCATCATCCATGTGTGAGCTGAAATTGATCACAGAGAGAGGGAAGGCAAAGCTGAACATGTTAATGTCTCAAAGGTGCTTTATTGCCAATGAATCCTGGTCATGTGACTCTACAGTGAATTGTAACTAGTAATTTTGTGCCTAATGCATCCTTAGTAATTTTGTTTACATAGATGAAAATAATGGTGAACATTTTCCCATCACCTCCCAGGGCTTTGGAAATTGCACCTTGCCAGGATTATTCTGTTCGAT